CAATGATGAGCAAAGAGGTCAAGAACAGGCTGGAGAAACCCACAGAGACAGCTGACCTGAATAAGGGGGATCTCATGGACCCCAAATTGATAGCTGGGAAGCCAGCATAGGACCGACCCAGACTCCTTGTCAACTGTGGCAAACTTGTAAACTGTGGCAAACTAACTTGTGTGGTGTGAAATTTCCCACCATAGTAACAAAGAGGCCTTCCCTTTGTTCTGGGGATTGGCTAGAGAATCCTCAAGAGGACTGGTCTAAGGCTCCTTGTGGGATTTGGTCCAGATGTAAAATCCAATCTCTGAAGAGGTCTTTAGGCTCCCCTGCCATTCCTCCTGTGATGGCTTTCTCCATCTCTCTCCTTATTTCTTTTCTTTTCTTTCTTTATCCCCGCTATTAACTAAGCCTGTCCTTTCCTGTTAAGTCTCATCATTCCTTCATTCCTTGTACTCTTTCTGTCTAATGCTCCCTCTCCTGCCTCGTGGCTCTGAGGTCCTCTCATTATCATATATCATATATCATATATCATATATCATATATCATAACCCTCATTGAAGGGAAGTGAGGTTAGATTGAGAAATGTCCCCTATATTCTCAGGCACTTGTGCACTTGCTCTCCAGTTGGTGACATTGTTTGGGGGAAATTTAGATTGTGCAGCCTCACTGGAGGAAGTAGTCACTGGGACAGGCTTCAAGATACAAAGCCTTGAAAGACATGTCCGTTTACTTTCCCCTCTTCATGCTTGTGGTTGGGGACATGAGCTCTCCCTCAGCTGCATGTCTGCTGTGCATGGGCACGTTTTCCACCAGGGTAGGCTCTTTTTACTTTGGAACCACAAGTCTAAATAAATTATTTCCTCTATGAGATGACTTGGTTGTGGTGTTTTTTTTTTTTTTTTTTTTTTTTTTTTTTTTTTTTTGTTCTTGTTCTTGTTTTGTAAACAGGGTCTCACTATGTAGCTCTGGCTGTCCTAGAACTCACTTTGTAGAGCAGCCTGGCCTCGAATTCACACAAATCCTCCTGTCTCTTGTCTCCCAAGTGCTGGAATTAAAGATGTGTGCCAGTATAACCCTCTAGTGTTTTGTCACAGTGACAGAAAAGTAACTAATACAGGAAGAACATGTTGGCTTTTCCAGTTCCTGGCCCAAATGTCACTCTGTCACAATTCCCAGCCTCATAGAAACAGCAACATTTCCATCATAACCTGGTAAATATGGTTGTCCTAGGGATAAAGCATCAGATTATAAGGATCACAGCTGTGGGTATTCCCACAGATGTGAATCCACAGAGTGACTGATTCCCCTGGCTGTGCTGGGTGTTGGGCCCTGACTAGAAATTGCTACAACCTGAATATTCAGAAACATTTCTCACATATTAATAAAATCTCCCCTTCCTCTATGGGGATCCTTAGAGCCAAACAGTTGCCTCAGATTTCTTACTTATGTAGAATTGATAGCCACATTCTGTTCAGCTGCCTCTTTGATGCACAGGAATGTCTATACGGCCATACTCAGTTTTAATAAATGCTTCTCATGCGCTTGAACCAAACCCTCCAAAATCTTAAAATTGCCCAAGGCTTTCACATGAGTACTTTCCAAGGGTGCTTTCACATAGTTAAATGATTTTTCAGATATTATAGCTCCTCTGACTATCCTCTGGCACGTGTGCCTGATGTGGGTTGCTCTTCTATATGCTGTGAATATGTGTTGTTGTTATTGGTTGATAAATAAAGCTGATTTGGCCAATGGCTAGGCAGAAATAGAGCCAGGTGGGAAATCAAACAAAGCTATGAACAAAAAGAAGGTGTAGTCAGGGAGGCGCCATGCAGCTGCCAGAGAAGCAAGATATGAGTTAATAAACCTTGAGCCTTGTGGTAAAGTATAAACTAATAGAATTGGATTAATTTAATTGTGAGAGCTAGTCAGTAATATGCCTGAGCCATTGGCCAGACAATTATGATTAATATTAATGCCTTTGAGTATGTATTTGGGAACTGGTGGGTGGGAGACAAGCCTCCATTTACAGATTCCCTCTGGCATTGTGACTTGTCCTTTCTAATGCCACTTTCACACTAGCATTAAGCATTTGACTCCCTTTTAAGACAAGTTTTTAATAAAATAAAACTAAAATTATTTTTAAAAATCATTCTAGGGGTGGAAAGATGATGGTTAAGATCACTGGATGCTCTTCAGAGGCCCCACAATGGTCCCCACATGGTAACTCACAACCATCTATAACTCAGTTTCAGGAGATCTGACACCTTCTTCAGGCCTCTGCATGTACCAGGCATGTGCATGGTGCACACACATACATGGAGGCAAAACACACACACACACACACACACACACACACACACACACCACACTAAAATAAAAACAAATTCAATATAGACTACTTTAATACATTTTGGGAGTGTTTGTTTGTTTGTTTGTTTGTTTGTTTGTTTGAGATGGGGTCCCTCTACTGGCTGGCTGTCCTGGAACTCACTATGAAGACCAGGCTGTTCACAAACTCAGAGATTTGTCTGTCTCTGCCTCCCAAGTGCTCAGATTGAAGCTGTGTGTCACCACCCTTGGCTACATTATATTTTTAAAAGAAGAGACCTCTACCAGAGTCATGTTAATTCAACATCCTGTGACTTGGAACTTATTCCAACCAAGAAAAATAAGGGCTCCCTCTCCTTATGGCAGTAAGGCAAGAGTTAAGGGCTGTTAAAGCATTATCAAGTTAAATTATTATTAAATGCTATCGAGGACTGGTCCATAGTGCTAGAAATGCGAGCACTGACATATCTCTTCCTTATTGTTTCCCGTGAATGACTAAAATTGTCAAGTCCTGGACAGTTGATAGGCCCTCCCCTTGTACCTGGCACTCCTGTGCATGGAGCTGTCAGTCAAGTGGTGACTTTGCTATCAACTCACTGGAAGGCCCTCACGGCAGCTGAACTGTTTTGCATATTTTTCAAACTCTCTGAGAATATTCCAGCAGCCACAGAAGTCATGTTCTGGTCATGACCACTGCAGACACACCCTGACAGCCTTGGTAAAGTATCACAATTCATAAGTCATGCTTCAGTGAGCTTGAAATGACCCTACTTACCCTGCAAGTATTCTTACTCAAGCCAGGAGGGAGCACTTCCCCAGTAAACCAGTAGAAAGCCTATGATTGATACAAACACAGTCTTTCATTTGCATGAAGTTCTGTGTTGTGACTGGTGCAAAAACAGTCCCTTCTTTGCATAAAGGGCTGTGCCCTGGCTTGTCACACCCATTCCTGGCCATGTAACTAAGCCACTCACTTTAATGACATATTTGTATAATACTTTCCCTAAATTTTTGAGACTTTGGTGCATGCAGACAATGTACTTTGATTGTACTCATACCTATTCATCCCCCTGGCCCCTCCCACATGCAGCTCCCCTCCCAACTGTGCTCTCTCTCTCTCTCTCTCTCTCTCTCTCTCTCTCTCTCTCACTCTATCTCTTTCTTTACGGCTCACTGATTCCAATTTGTGCTGCTCATATAGTCATGGGTGTGGGGCCATTCTCTGGAGCACAGCTGACCTATCGGGAGCACATCCTTAAAGAAAGCTGACTCACTCTCCTCCTTCCAGAAACCATCAACTGTCACTAGCTGCTCTGCTGGGGATGGGGCCTCGTGAGCCCCAGGTCTTGCACAGGCATCCACATCAGCTGTGAGTTCATGAGTGCAGAGATCCTGTCATGGAGACTCCAGAAGTTTTTGCCTAGTCCTCTCTGACCGACCTCTATCTGGTTCTCCACTCTTTCTGTCCTCTTTTCCTGTATGGTCCCGTGAGCTTGGGGGATTCAAGTGTGATATAGATATCCCATTTGTGGCTGTCAGTTCCACCCTCTCTTGTACTACCTCTGGTATAGCAATATTAGGCCCAGTAAAAGGTTTTGATGTTTTTCATAAGTACCAGGTTAAGCTGGTAACAGAGAAGAGAAGGCAGGAAAGTGGCAGCAATGGCCAATGGCAATAGTAGTGGCGCAAGTTGGGAGGCAATAGTGGCATCCGTGTCAGTGGTGGCAATGAGGCAAACAAAGAGTCCTCTGGGACAGAGAATGTCTGGAGTCAGAGACAGTGGGAGGGGAGGCAGAAAAGCCAAAAAAGGGCGGTGGACGCACAGGGGCTGTGATAGTGGGAGCTCTGAGCTGGAGGAGTTCCAGGGAGTCCAAGTCCTAAGGGCTGAGATTCTCAACACCAAACACCCCAAAGAGCCATAGAACTAGAGCTAAAGGACACCTAATGTTTAAGAGCTATGGCTCTATTGTTAGGAGCTGTGGGCCCCATCACCCAATCACCCAATGCTTTCAAGCTAGCACTGACTGCCACTGCAACAAAGCAAAGTGTCTCATGAGTTGCTGGATGCCAGGTCACTGGCAATGGAAGCCAATAAGAGCAAGTCTCCAACCTTAGCTTGAGTAGCTTGAGTGGTTTCTGGACTGTAGATCCTGGACTCATAGCTTCTAGTTTCCCCCCCCCACACACACACACCTTTAAGAGTATTTACTGAGAACTTCCCGACAGCATCTGTAAACATCAGTACAAAAATATTCCGTTCAGTTCTTTTCTAAGGGACTGCCAGGCTCCTGGAGATGCCTGCTAGACCTGTGAGAAACAGCTCCCTACAGAGTCAAGGCTGCCTCTATCTTGAACCTTCTACCTCTGCTCAAATCCAACACTCCAGAGTTAAATCAGCAGCTGCCAGTGTTAGGGACAAGCTCAGCCCTGAAGGCACCTTCTACCTTGGGGGGACATCTGGCTTTGGTCTCTGGGGACTTTAGAAGTACTTTGAAAGCTGGCCCAGGCTAAGCTCCAGGATACCTGTAGCTAGCCCCACTGCCCCAGCTAGGGTGTATGTCCTGGTATGGGGAAATCCTGCTCTTAGGAAGGGCAGGAATTAGGAACCCTGTCTATGATAGAATGGAGCGGCAAAGCTGACCAAGTGTGACCCCCTGGAGGACCACTGCTGTCCTGAGCCTTTCTGGGATGGTGGGAAAGGGGGCTATTCTCCATGTGTCTCTTCCTTGTCATCTGTGTGGCTGTGGCCATTGATGGCAGGGGAACCAGGTCGAATATGTGACAGGTCCTCAAAGCCAGGACTGAGAGATGGTGAGACGGTATCAGGACTGGTGTCACAGAAGCCTGTGATCTGCTCCGGGGTGGTGATGGTCGTGGTGATACTGGGTGGAATGGGGTCTTCGTCTTCTAGGAATGACCTCTCTGGGATGTGACTGAAGGCTTCTGGGTGCTGCCAGGCCAGCTTCCTCTTCAGTGTCCTGATCCTGTGGAAGATGCTGTCCAGGTCCCTTTTCATGTCCACCAAGGTGCGAGTGTGGTACCTGAAGCGTTCACTCATCTGCTGCAGTCGAACGCTAGACAGATTGTTGTAATTCAGAAGCATCTCGTTGGTTTTCTCAAAGCGGTCCAGCATGTTCTTCTGTGCCAGGATGATGGCATCGACATCATCAGGATTCATCATGCTGAGAAAGTGGCCACAGAAGACCCTCGAGGCCGAGGCCGAGGGGTCCATCTCTTTCTCCTCCACCTCCAATGCCTTTAATCCCACCACTTGAGAGGCAGACAGGGCTGGGTTCTAGTACTTGGCATGGGAACTTGATGACCTGCCTCAGAGTCGCCAGAACTCATGGACAGCCAGACTGCAACCCTAGTACCTGATAAGGCGGGGGCTGAAACATGCACTGAGGGCCCTGCCCCTTCGAGAGGAGAAACTGAGGCACGCGCGCACTCCAAGCAACTCAGGACTCTGGGCTGCGGACGGTCACACAAGTCGAGTTCCCATCCGGATCTGCCCGCGCCGCCGCTGCACAATCAGGGAAACTGAGACCGGCTCGGCCACAGAGCCAGAATGGGCCCTCTTACCCGCTGGACACAGACCGCAGCTTCCCGCCGCCCCACAATCCTGCCCTGGCCAGGCCGCGGCGTCGCCAGTCTGGGCACCTACACATCTTGGCTTCTAGTTCTTAAGACTTGGGGTTATAAGCCTTTGGGCCTGTCACCTCATAAACTTTGTCATTATAGGATCCAGGGAGGCTAATACCAAGATTTCCTCTCCATCTACCTTATGACTTCTCTCTGAGTAGCAGTTGCTAACACAATCAGAAACTAGCTCTAATAGCCATCTGGGTTTCCTTCTTAGCTATCAGCCCCGGTTGCTTAACTAGATAACCAAACACTTTGACTCCACGACAGCAAATAACTACATAATCATCAGTGATGTTTGCCAAACAGATTTCAATCAAAAGACGGAATACGAACTTTAAGAAAAGCCTGGGCCAGTGGGATGGCTCCTTGGGTAGGGGGCTTGCTGCCAAGAATGGTATCTTAAACCTGATTCCCAGAACACACGTGATAGAAGGAAAGAATCTGCTACTCTTGCAATTTGTCTTCTGACCTCTGTGTGTGCCCTGGCACATATACATTTCTCTGAACACTGAACAGATGGATGGATGGAAGGAAGGAAGGAAGGAAGGAAGGAAGGGTATGTGGGTAGATGGGTGCATGGATGTGTGGGTGGTGGAGGGATGGATGGGTAGGTGGGTGGATGGATGGGTGCTTGGGTGGATGCTATATGTAAAAAAGTTTAATGGGCTGTAAAGATGCTCAGTGATTAAAAGTGCTGGCTGCTCTTGCAGGGAGCCAATGGTAGATTCCCAGCACCCACACGGAAGCTCACTACAGCCTCTGTGGACACCAGGCATGCACATAGTACACAGGCATACATGAAGGCAAAACACTTATTCTCAAAAAATAAAAATAAAATATAGGAAACTAAAACAGGACTTTAAACAAAAGTTTAAAACACTTTTTAAAAAAAAGAGAAAAAGCTTAATGTCCAAGAGGGATCCCAAATGACTAATTAGTACTAAACTCAGAAAGCACCCTGGGAAATGTTTTCTGACTTGGGGGTGGGGAGGTGCCACATATTCTTTGTTCCTGGAAGAACCACTAAGTACACGCCTGGGAATGTTCCTGCTTCAGTTGCCAAGATAAACAGTCCCAGAAAGTTTCATTTTGCTACCCAGCCTGGACCAATCAGCTGTCATCTGCAGACAACTGATCGGGACTGAACACTTCCCACACCTCGTATTCCTTATTTTCATAGGCAGTCTGCAGTGGGAACATGGGTGGGAACTCCTCCCTAAAGCTAGCCCCTCCTTTTTTTCCCTCTGGTCACACACTTTCCTTTTGTACTGAATGCCCTGTCTCTCCGTCTTATCACTTTATTCATTTATTTATTTGTTTTTGAGATAGGGTTTCACCATGTAGCCTTGACTGGTATGGAACTTTCTATGTAGACCAGGCTGACCACAAAGTCACAACGCTCTGCCTGCTTCTATTTCCCAAAATGTTGGGGTTAAAAGCATGCACCACAACACTTAGCTTCTTTAAGTAATGTGCCCTCCACCCAACCCAATCTTGAACTTTTTTTTTTTTCTGGTTGATTTTGTTGTTGTGGACAAAAGCAAATGAAATCCCTCTTTGAGAACTTTCTGAAGATGGCTTTTCAAAGAATTCACGGAGCTCTACAGAGATTTCTTTAGAAATGGGTCTGTTCTAGAGCCTGGTAGGAATCCCATAGTCCTTCCTCACACAGTAGGGTTAGCCCAGCTCCACATGGAAACTCTCCTGTCTCAAGGGCAGACATGTTCTCTAGCTTCCACAGCTCAAGTTATAGGGTTTGAAATTCTCCGTGAAACTATAACATTTGTGAAAAATAGTGGCAGTATGCTGACTAAAATTTTCTTTGACAACAGATGAAGTTCCCTGTCCAAGGTCTGGAGGAAGATAGTGCATCAAGGCATGAGGAGACCATGCCATGCCTTCCTTGTGCCTGCCACTTCCTTCAGGGGCCATGTTGACCAGTGGCTCTCAAGCAGATCTTACTGCCACCAGCTGAGACTCCTAGCCGGTTTTCTCTGCCTCCACTGAACAAACTGTGATGGCCCTTGGATTCCCAAGTCCTTCCTTCCTCTCTCTCACTCCGAGGTTTTCCTAAAGCAAGACAGAACCCTTTGACAGCACCGTGCTGTCTGATGTGTGTTGGTGCTGGGTTAGAGACTCTGCAAGTGAAGTCCTGCATCAGTCTAGCCACCTGTAAATGGGAAGACACCAGCACATCCTCACACACTATCTGCAATTATGGATGGCACATGCCTATACATCAGTTAGCACCACTCTTGGCAATTATTACATGTTCTGCTGCTATCTCTGGAGTGATGCTATTTTTAGAGTTCCTTGTTCCAGTGCACTTCAAGATGTTTTGCATGAACTATAGTAGAAATTCTCATAAGCTGGTGTCAGGATGATGCTTTGGGGCATGAAATGAGAGATTTTTTTCCCCCATCAGCACATGCCTGGGGACATGACTGGACCTAGCTAGTGATGACTGTGGAGTCCTGACTTGTTCAGAAGTAATTTTAAGGACAAAGGTTGTATGGTCACATGCCGCACCTCCTCACAGGTGAGGGGCACACCTCCAACCTTCTTGTTCTCACTAGTTTCTGGGCTCCAATCTTGCTGGTGACACTCTTTTCTTGAAACCCTTCATTCATAGCTGATTTCCAATCCAGGAATGATTCAGTTCAGCCTCAGGTTGGGCTCATTTTCAGAATTTTTCCTGTCCAGTTAGGTCTCCAGCTAGAAGGCACTGTGTCCTGTGTATGTTGCCAGTGTCAGGGACACATGGAAGCCCAGCATTAGCAGCTGCTACAGGAGAACAGAGCATACAAGGACAAAGCAGATGGCAGAAGGAAAGTGTTTGGGTAGTAGCCAAAGACCACACACTCAAGACTCTGTAGTATTAGAATTCAGAAAACTATTCATTTCAGCAGTTTTTTTTTTTTTTTAAATTCATTTGCTTTTACTTTTTGTTTGTTTTTTTTTTTTTCAAGACAGAATTTCTCTGAGCTGGCTGTCCTCTCTGTAGACCAGGCTGGCCTCAAACTGAGAGATCCCCCTGCCTCTGCCTCTCTAGTGCTGGGATCTATTTACTGTTGCATTTATCGGTTTGACACTAAGGCCTTGGACTTGGAAGGTGGGCACCCATCCACCACTAGTCTCTTTACAGCTGTTTTTACCGAGTGCTAATTAGCTGTAAGGTATACTTTCATACACATGACATAACCTCAAGATTCAAAGGACACGTAATTAATTCACTTTAACATGTGTGTGGCACATGGCAGTGCAGGTATGCATGCATACGCATGTAGAGTTCAGAGGTTGACACTGGGTGCATTCTGAGACTACTTTCACCTTATCCTTTGGGCAGGGTCTCAATGACTCTGAAGCTCATTCATCAGCTGAACTGGCTGACCAGCAAACCCCAGGATCCGCTCCTACCTTGCAGCACCGGGGTTGCAATATCTGTAGGCACATCAGGCTCTTAGCGTGGGTGCTCAGGACCTGAACTCATGTCCCTGTGCTTACACAGCAGGCACTTCATCAGCTGAGCCATCTCTCAGACCCTAAATCACTTTTAAAATAAATTCTGATTGGTGGATGAAATAAAATCTATTCAAGAGCCACAGGGAATGTCAGCCCTGGTCTGGTCTTGTCAGTAAGACAAGCCTCCTTCACTTGTCTGTCATTTAAAGTGCTGGTCTGAGAAATGCCAAGAAAGCATCATAAGGGCAAGCTGTATCAGATCATGGGGTGGTTGGAAGTACTCATGGCCTCTAAGAAATATCTGCACCTTCTCCTTCTGGGATTCAGTATTGAAGAGGGAATGACAAAGCAGTGTTCAAAAGGACATGATGAGGACTTCCGGGTCATAGAGAGTAAACTTGAGCTGGGCATGGTGGCACAGGCCTTCAATTTCAGCATTTTGAGAGGCTGAAGTGAGAAGATCCTGAGTTCAAGTTCAGCCTGGGCTACACAGTGACACCCTGCCTCAAAAAAATGAAAATAAAAATCACCTAGTAATTAGTGGCCTTCAGCAATAGGAAATGAATACAAGGGAGGAAAGAAAATGTGCACAATCTCTAACGGTGGAAAGGAACCGCGATCATAAATAAATGAGAGTGAAATGTATCTGTGACACAAATTGCTTACATCTGGTCTTTCATAACTAAGGCCAAACACAGAGTGGCAACTGCAACCCTTCTTCACCATAAGAGAGTATGTTTCTGTTGAATGCTAGACAGAACAGAATGAAGCCAGAAGCGAGGCTCCAGTGTGAGGCTGTCTATCTATCTGGCTAGGAGCCAGGCTGTGTTCACTGCTGAATTCTGTAGTAGAAACAGAAATGTGCCCTGCCACACTTGCGCTGACATAGGTGTGATTCTGTTCTGCCTCGTCGCTGGGTGTGCCTGACCCTGGCTGATCTGCAGGAGAGTTGAGGGTTTATGAAGAATGAAAACAGTGTCCAAACACAACATTCTGAAGAGACAGCCAAACATGTGTCACCCACTTTGTCTTCCCATGGATTGTCAAGAGCCCAGCAGGTATAAAAGCTGAAGCCTGGTGGGACTGAGAAGGCAGCTTGGTGAGAAAGGTGCCTGCTGCACCTTCTTAAGACCTACCTTAAGATC